TCACGATACAATTTCCTTTCCACACACCAGTCTGTGGTTCTGAGGGACTTGTTTTCAAAAGATTTACCATGGGACTTATCTTCTGTGTTCCTAGTCAGCTACAATCCCATTCCTGGCTTTGAACCACTGGAATCATTCAGATGTTTTACTCAGTGTAGACAAGAAAAGTTTCTTTGCTCAAATCAAATGGTGAGAACATTTTTAGCAGTTTAATAGCAGAAGAGTTTGAGCAAATACAAAAACAGTGACAAGATGACTGATGATAGGATAAACTCAAAAGTGGTCATTTTGCTGATGTTCTACACAGAAGAATTGCAATGAACCTCACCAGAAAAATAAAATAAAATAAACAAATAGAAAACATAAACAGAACCCATGTTCTGTTTATGATCCTCCAGAGTGATTAAATTTGTCCTCTGCAGTAAAAAATGCAAGAAAATATCCATCTCCCCATGCTTACCAAAAGCCACAACTGCCTGAGAAAGACTAGCATATTGTGCAGTTAATGCCAACATTCTTGTTGAAGAACATTCATCTACATTTTCTAGATATTATTGAAAGACAAGTTTTGTAGTTGAACTCCAACCACACCTTAGTCACTCATGGTTACACTGCAGAACAAGGGAAATCAGAGATAGTGCTAACAATTAAATTTATTCAGCACTGAATAAGAAATTATCTTTTATTGTTACACTTTTGGTTAGCCTGTCAGTAACATGACATCCATGCAAACTACCAAGAGTAAGTGGATTAATGATAGACCAGATGTGATATGCTTATTTTGGCCAGATCTTAAAACTGGGTTGGATACCCATCTCTGCTGATACAGGCATCACTGCCAGCATTCTTCTAACAGCCTGGAGCATATGACTCTGCTCTGGGAAAAAAAGGCACTTTTTTGCATCAGCAGGTCGACTTCCATAATACATAAGTATTATGTCACAGCCTCTTTCCAAACAGAAATTGTTGCTCACCCTTCTTTTTCTGAATTGCTAAGAGAAAAGAAGAAGAAAAAAAAAAAAAAAGATTCTTTACCCTCTAGTTAATCACAAACAAACTTATCCTCGCTAAAGGAAAAGGCATCATGAAGAGTATGACAGGGGAAGACAGAGTTTTTTGTCCACAATTTAATCCACACAGGAAATGAAGTGAGTTTGCTTACCAGTCTGCAAAGTCTATAGACAAAATAGACAAGTTCTTTTTTCCAAACTGAGCATATGCAATAAAATATAAAGAGCATGAGAATATTGAGACAACGATCATAGTAGATTCAATTTTTTTCAGTCATTTTTCAAAGAACAGTGTTGTTATTCTCTTTTTATACTTCAAGTAATTAATAGTAATCCGATTTTATGCATATTCATTTCAAGTCACTTATAAACAGATTTGCAAAACTATTGATTTCAATGGGAGTTAGCAGCTAAATATCTTTATATGGAGCCATAGCCTTCATCCTCTTAAATCTCTAGATTTATTGTTTGCACACAAATCATTATAAAGCAGGCATTATTCAAGGAAGAACTCAATAGCAAAGAGAAGAGCCCAATTAACTAGGAATTCAATGTAATTATGGAAGTTCGGAACTTGCCTGGGGACGTGTTTGCCTGCAAATCATTGGGGAAGGATGAAAAGGGAATCGTTTGTTTCATCTTCTTTTCCAAAGTATCATTTTCATGTTAGCTCTACATTATTAGTTTTTAAAACCTGAAGTATTAGGACTCCTACAAAGTCACAGGGTAGGAACAGAGGTGCCATTAACTGGGTTTCTGGGGGTTCTCTTTTTGCAACACTAAATCCGTGCTGGAGTTAATCATATTAATAACTAAAAGCAACAGACGGGAGTTCTTGTCTATAGCTCTTGGTTGTTTGCTGATAATTAAACTGACTTTTCTGACCCTAGTCTTATGGAAATTAAAGTTAGGTCTGCAAAAATAATACAGGAATATACACTGTAAAGCTCAATCTTCTCCCCTCCAATTATATACCCCTTTACATGAAAAACAAACAAACAAACAAAAATCCCCCCAAAAAACAAACAAAACAATCAAGAGAAATAAGAACTGAGGGCCACTGACTAATAAAAGTAAGGAATTTTTATAAGTACTGAAAACTGCTTTGCTCTCATAGATTCAAGTCTTTCTATAAATAATAAAAACACCCTGTAAATTTTCCAACAAAGAATGTAAGGTCAATAGATAAAATAAATCTATCAGTCTACACCAAAAGAGCCAAGGAGATGGAGAATCACATCTAGTAGCT